TGGCCTTAAAATCGTTGATAATGTTGGAACAAATTGAGGTGAATCGGAACAAGCCGAGCGTTGACACGTCGCATACACAAATTTTCCACCAAAATCAAACGAGCCATCTCACGACCGATGCCTAGCTCTCGTGCTATCTCTCTAACACTCACATGAGGATTTTGGAACACGATTTCCTTTGCCTTTTCAATGTTTTCGTCGGGGGTAGAGGTCGAAGGTCGTCCAGAACGCGGCATGTCTTCGACGGTCGTACGACCGTCCTGAAAGGCTTTGTACCACTCATAAACTTGAGTTTTCGATAAAACTGATTCCCCATAAGCCTTTTGTAGCATTCGCAAAGATTCTGCACACGAAATTTCGTTCGAAACACAAAATTTGATGCAAACTCTTTGTTCAATATTTTTTTCCATTGTTTTTTTCGCAACGCACTACTGAGGTGAACTGGTTTAAACAGCTGCCGTAAACGAACTGTCTGACAGATCGCGCTCATTTTTGGCATAGTAATTGTCCTTAATTGCTGCCAAACTACATAACTTAAAATATCGAAAAATATACAGCGCGCGAATTTTAAATGAGAACCTCCGAAAACCTTTCGGTCACAATGTAAATGGAAATAAAATAATCACAGTAGCCCTTTTGTTTTAAATATAAGCTATTTATCTTTTTTAATACTTTCTATTTAATTTTTTTTGTTTTGAAGAAATACATACATAAAAATTTGCTCAAGGATGCCTGAAGCCATAACGTGGTACCTTATTATAGCTGTAGCTATGGGTAATATATGTAAAATGAAATACTAAACTGAAATTTATTAAAAAATATTTATTTCTAAAATTTTTAAAAAATATTTAGCATTACTGGTCATAGCTCAGATATATCTAGTAGTGACCAATATAACTTTTGGGAGCACGGAGAACGAAACAAAGGGTAACAAAGGCTGATTCGTTGGTATTCTTAAATAAATTAAATAAAAAAAATTTACATATAGTTTATTATTAAAATAAATATTTTCTAAACGCATTTACTTAGAATATTTACTAGCTGGTGGTAACAAAAAAATAAAATTTGTAATCTATTCGTGTATGGATCTATCGAGTGCTTTATAGAGTAGTTTTCTAAAAGTATTTATTTTAGGAAATAATGCAAAGCGTAATTTATTTATATTACTTTAATCAAGAGTAATAATTTCTGTGTTATCTATAATATAGAGAAAAAAGACAATTGCTTAAAATAAGCTAATTTGAAACTATAACATTAAGGAACCTAAACAGAATATAGTTCCTTTCCAGTAAAATTTTATTATTTTTCCAAAAATGTGCTTTTTATGGTTCCAAAAATTAGCAGTCTATATTTAGTTCTAGACTTTATTCACAAAGCTTTAAGGGGCTTTGTTTAATCAATAATGAAATTCGTACAATAGGTCTCTTCTGGCCGCAGTACCGGCTGTTTGGCAATTTTCACGTCTACTCTTTTAATAATAAATAAAAATAGCAGACGCTTGATTTAATGATGTTCTAGGTGGTAATATATATAATATTCATCTGAAATTTCTATTTCTTCTCATATTCAATATTGATATCCTCATTTATGATGTTTACTTGGTTATTGTAATTTAAATTTTTTGGTTTTTACTTTTAAATTCGTAGAGTCAAAGTTCAATCACATGATCTTCTTACTTATTTGTTGTATTTACAGATGTCTTGTAAAATTTATAGTATGCATTTGGCAATAATTATATTAAGAATTTAGGTTTAATAAATAATAAATCTTCAGTATCGCCAAATGGGTTCAAATTCGTTTCTTTGAAACCAGAGAAATGAATATAAATAAACCAAATGGAATGAAGTGGTAGTCGCTGATATGAACTCCATTAACTTTTATGTAAATTTTGCATTGTATTTTCAAGCTTTAAATCATATTGACATTGCAGGATAGTTCAAATATTAACATTTTGTTTCGCTGACCATCTACTAAATAATCAAATACGTTGAAATCCACTATAAGAAAACATGGCTACTTGGTCACAGTTTATTAAAAAAAAGAAAGCAGTCATTCAGCATACTTGAATGATTTTGATAGAATTTAAGTCCAGTAAGTCCGTTTGATTGTGAGATTGTTAATAGTCAATCTATTTCACACTACATACCTATATATATATATATGTAAATATATACACTGAAAAAATTAATGTGTTCAATGTATTCAGATTTTGCCCAAATCTGAGGTTAAAGTGTATTTACTCAACGCATCATGTTGGTTGAACCATACCACATATTAATTTTCATATCTTCTTGAACAAATTATATAAAATTTCTCTAACAAAATGATCTGATCACTTTAATTAGTATGTGATTAAAGCATATTTTTCAGAATGCATACATAAGATATTATCTATCGAAGGTAAGAATGCAATCCAACTCAGACGTCAGATACTGCAAAGAAGAGAGAGAAACTGCATAGCATGTTCTTGGGGAGTATCCGGCACTGATGCACAGGCAGAAGAAACACCTAGGAGATTATTTCATGGATCATAAGAATTCAAGACTAGAAAAGACAGGCTCTATACTGTCTTTCATTAAAAAAATCGGACTTGGAGATACACCCTAACCCGACTAAGGGGCACAATAAATCTTTTAGGTCGCAGTGCACGATGTCTTCATTTAAAAATAATAATATATAAGATATAGTTCCTTAAGTCAATTTCTTATGTCAGACATGAAAAGACAACCATTGATTTTCACAGGACCGAACTGGATTTCATATACAATGATAAATTTCTTTTGTGTAGTTGGTGTTGTTATAACATAAAAGTGTTCAATATAAGTTAAAGATATACATTTTTAGGACGCTATTTGTACCGGTGTAAGATTCCATAAGAAAATAAAATTTTTTTTGATAAAAGAAAAAAAATATATTTGTCTTTAACTAATAAAATTAATTTTAATTACATTATTGTTTAATCGAGGATTTTTTTAAAATTTGTCTTTCATATTATCTCCATATTATGCTTCCTACTCTTTCGTAGTGCTTTTTTTGGCACGTACCGGAAACCAAAACCGCAACACATGCAAATAACCTAAAAACCGCTGCTAAGACAGAAAAAGTTAGCAAGTAAATAAAATAAAAGTTCAACATTTTTGAACTTTTTGTGAGTTTAAGTAACCGCAAAATTTAAATTTGACGCCTTCATGGGATCCCGCTTAGATAAACAGGTCGGATGCGCACAAACTTCATCCAACCTTGTTATTTCCACTCCACGCTTTCTTTTAAACTTCAATGTTGACTTGATTCATTTTGCTCTCATTCATTTTCATTTTACATATCCTTATCCCTGTGCAGTGCTTTTTGATGTTTATTTTTCTACAGTCTTATTCCGACTACCTTTTTGTCGAGTTTTTGTTAATTAGAAACCCGAATCGCTGCTCAGGAAGGATAAACTAATTCACTTTCAATTTTTCAAAGTTGAAATAACATAAATTGAGGAAATTTTAAATTCGTCCTTTGAACGAGATGTGTAGATGATGATGTAAAAATGATTTTAATTTATTTTATCGCTGTGACATATGAACTCAAAACAGTTCAATAATCCTGCAATTGTGTACATGATTTCCCATTTGGTGGTTAGCGCTGTGGTAGTGCTAAATTCGTATGCATCACAGACTCACTCCGGAGCTGTGAAATGGTATAAAAATAAAGTTGAAATGTAGCAGAAATATTCGATATTGAAATTGTACATATGTGCCAAGGTGATATGAATCTGCCGCTACTCTCGCCTTACTGCTCCGCTCCAATATGATTGCTTGGTAAATATGCTGCAGCATGTTAAGTTTTCAGCACATTTCACCCAAAATAGAACGCATTTGAACGTACCTGAAAAAAGTAATTCTATACGGAACCATGAAGAAAAAATGTTGCAAAATCAATAAAAATGGAATTTTATTGCAGTGATGTTGTTTGGGAATGTAACAATGCGGACATTTGTACTGCAAAAAGTGTAGCACAACAACAAAAACAATATTGCTAAATTGTCTTACAACTCAAGTCCCAAAAGACATTTGGCTTACGAAAATGAGTGAAAAAGTTATGGTTTCTGTTGAAAATTGTTATAATTTGAAAAAAAAATTTTTTTTGTTAAAAATATCTGAAATGTATTTACTAAATTCCCATTTGGCCTTTGCATTGAGATAAAGGCGTGGCAGTGCAGTCATTCAATAACACATATTAACGGAAAATCTTCTTCATTGAAAACAATAATTTGGAGTTGAACATGTGTACAATATAGATCTAAGTTAAAAATCAAACTCGAAGGCTAAAGTCAACAAAATTTCTTAAGTTGAAGCTTCTTTAGACTAAATTTATATTGCTAAAGTAAGTTTAAGCAATACTTTCAAATTAATTTAATTTTTAATAAAAGTATACTCAACATTCTTTGTACTACACACTATTTGTGGATTCAAAATGGCTTTCTTAGCTAATTGAGGAGAACTCAGTCCTACCTCCACCACAACAAACTAAGTAAGTATACTCAATATCGTTCTAAAAATATTAGCGCGTAGTAAACAGATTGATTCCAGGTTGCATAAATGCAGGAACTGTTTTCTTGGTAAGGAAATGAAAAAGTTCGTATGAGAGGAAAGGTGCAGGGTTTTAAAGAAAAATGTTTTTACGCAAAAAAAAAAATGCAATGATGTATATATTACAATCTCGCTCGAAACTGCTCGGTCCAAACCCTTAATGTGTCCAAAACACAAGAGTTTAAAGGTTTGATATCTAGTGATCTGGTTGCCCGGTTAATTGGTTCATATCATTCTATCTAACGATGAGTAAAATATCGCATGTTAATTAAGTACAGTATTTAGTCGTTCACACATAATAAGTTTTTTGCTAAAATTCATGCACTAAGATAGCTTTGAGCATTCGTAAAACACTCAAAAGTATATTTGAAGAAATAGTTAAGTTAAGCATAGTGGCTAACAAATTTTTCTCAAGTGTCGCATAGTAATACTGTATTGTGCGATTAATGTACAAAAAAAACTGTGAAGGTATCTGTTATATTTGCATAATATTTTTGAATATCAACAAACATTTAAAGAGTGATTGTGAGGTTTCCAGTAGATTTTTATTATTGCTTAAGCATTCTTTTCTACTTCAATCTCGGTACAATATCTTTCAACCTCAATATCTATATCAACAAGGTTAGAATCGCACTATTAGAGAATAGAATCTAAGAAGAACTATTAGGAACTAATTTTGAAAGTCTTGCAACATTGTTAAAGAAAATATAAACTATGATTGAGAAATATAGAGAAGGTCACTTCACACGTATTTTGTATAAACATACGATTTAAGATACCACATCGCTCAACGCAAGGATATCTTAAAACAACAATGTCTGACAATCTGCATGAAGTCAGTCGTAGGCTTGCTCTAACTCTCTTATCTTGATTCCTAAAAAAGCGTTAGAAACTTATTGTGGATGTGTCACAAAATTCTAGAAAAATAAAATATATGAATTGATTGTAAATAGTTTTGAGTCAAAAAACAAGTCTCATACCTGTAGTATGATGTAGAATATCATATCACTTGGAAATAGATATTTTTAAACAAGATTAATGTTATGTAGTCTGTCAATGTGGTCTCTATTATAGATTCACTTCTAAGCTCTAATCTTAGGGCCCAAAAAGCATCTCTGATATTGAAATAATAAAAAATGTTCCAGAATAAGGCCTTATGCCTCACTGGGGGAAGTGGACAAAAGTAGTAGTAGGAAAAGATATCAAAAATGTTGGAAATTCTAGAGATATCTGTTGTACTAAAATTCCCCTTTATTTATTAACTATTTAACAACTATTTCATAAAATTGTTATTTAAAATATATAAAATTAATGCATAAAACTTTTAAAATTTTATGCATACCAATACATTTTCCCATAATCAATTTTATTTTATCATTATCCTATTTTATACCCCCCACAACATTTTAAACTTACTTCAAGTCCTGTTACTTCTGACATAAAAGTATATTCCCCAACCACAGAATAAATGTCATGATTAATATTTTCTGGGTTATCATGGAAAGAAATTAATACAAAAAAAAACAAAATTGTTATTTTAATTTTGCAGTGATTACAAATGAAGCTGAAATAAGTAACAAAATTTGATGCAGTATTGAAAATTTTTGAAATTGCCACATATCCACAAAGAGCGAGCACCGGCTCCTGCGACTCCACAACCGTATTTGTGCATATCTCGCTACATGTAGGTGAGCATGTTTGTGTGTGTGGAGCGTACAGTTTCGTATTTCGTTATCGGAACCATAAATAAAATTTGCTTGGCAGGAAATGAAGAAATTCATTGCGATTGTTCAATTGGAAAATCGAATGCTGTGAATGCAGGATGCTGACTTACGCAATCCTCCCAGAATATCATTCCAAAATTATATACAAAAAAACAAAAGGAATAAGGAATATATAACCGAATCGAATCGATTTCGATTTCAATTTAATTCCTTTTTTAGTTTATGCAGAAAAGTGAAGGTGATATACAATAATACGACAAAGCTACAATACATGTAATACAATGTGTAATGTTCACTTCGAGTGCAATGAAAAGGAGCAAATGAGCACTTCCTTTGAATGCACTTACTACTCGACACATGCAGATGAATTTATTTGTATCCTTTAATCCAAACTGTATGCAAACAATGGTTTATTGAATATTTATGCAGAAAAATCAATAAGGCTTTTAGTACAATTTCAACTTACAAGTGCAATGGAATCAGTAGAGAATCAGTTTGGCAAATTTTTGTTAAATTGAAGCAAAAATAGTTATAAAAGTTATGTCACATTGCAATTTTATTGAAATTGAAAAGGAAAACCTTAAACAATGTTATTTTCCTAAACGAAGTTATATTTGGTTTTTGTTTTTATTGCATTAAATATAAAGTCACTGCACTGCAGATGTCATAGTGATGTCATAGAAATATATAAATTCAAACTGTTGCTCCATTTGTTGATGTGCCACTTTAAGTTTTTTAATAAAGTAAATATTATTTTATTTTTATACACATAAATTCCTTTTATTTTATTCAATAAATAAATAAATATTGAAAATGTATTTCAGAAATAGTTTCTAAATTTTTTTATTGAATATTGTTTAAATTATTAACTTATAATGTTTTAAAATACTTTTTCACTGAGGTTGAGGAAAGCGGTAGTAGGCCATCGATATTGGAACCGTTGAAAACATCGATAGGATCAAAGAAATATTGTCCAAAAACTGCAACTTAACCATTAAAGAACCGGCGAAGTAGTGGAGAATTGCATACGGATATGTTAAAATTATTTTGGTAAATGACTTTGGCTTCAAAGGTGTCTCCACAAAGCTGTTGCTAAAATACATGAGCTTAATCCACAAAAAGAAATGAACTGACAGAACGAAAATTATGCTTTGAGTGGATGAGTCCAACTAAATATTCATTAAACGCTTATATACTGTAGACGAGTCTTGGGTTATTGATTTTGCTACCAATCCAGTTAAGCAGCAAGTGAATGGTGATTACCCGAAGAGGCATCACAGAATCACACATTCGAGTTGTATCATCCATATTCATGAGTTATTGATCGAGAACGGCATCCTACGATTTCTTCCCCTTGGAACGACTCAAGAAACTGCTGAGAGGAATATTTTTAGCAGCCAAGGAGTGTTATAGTAAAAAAAATCAAAGACGATTTTAGTGGCTACACAAAATTCGATCATAAAAAGTGTTTAGATGTTTGGGTCATGCTCTGTTACGTGCGCTTCAGTTAATGGAGTGTACTTAAAACGAGCCATTATCGATTATCGAAAATGAACTTGTAATTTTAATTATTTTAAAAAGTTATTGAAACCTTTTGATTAGTACGGTACATAATTTGCAAAATTTTGTTAATCTGGATTTTTAGTAGTATTGTATAAGCAAGTAGTGTTTGGAGTTACTTGGTTATAAACTAACTTTCTTAGCAATATTTGTGCTCGTTGCATCATGTCATCATGTGTCATCATTTTTCATCCTTTTTCGCTAATAAGAAAACTGAGTACCTTATCTTAATATTTTTAATACAATGTGTTTCTGTA